GCTGGGAAAAGTATGGCGAAAGATCAAAATCATTGAAAAAATGAATAAAAACTAAAAAGAACAAATTCAAATGTTTATCTTTCCTGGATATTCGATGAACAACGATTGCTATCCATCAGTTGTTTGTCCTGGTTGCCGAAGAAATCTTTACAGACTCAAAAAGGGAGACTCACCTCGTGGTGAATGGGGAGCTAAGGTTACCAAGGTAATTTTAATGATTTTTTCCATTTTTTTTTTTCTTTTTTTTCTTTAGTTTATTTATAAATGTATATTTATTTAGGTAGAGTGGAAAACCCTTTTGAGAAATAGCCCCAGAACCAGTCTAACTCTTCCAGATGAGATAACTAATTTTCCGACAACTAAGTCAAGTATATGTTCTTTTTGCTATTCATTGCCTGCACCTGGTTATTCTCATAACTGTACACCCACCAGTGCTGTGGCAAATATCATTACACTGTCATTTCTTCTATGTTCTCTTCAAGCTGAACAGGTAAAAAAAAACTATATTTTGTTTATAAGTTTTTAGTTTTTTATGCAAATTTCATTTTGTGAAAACTTTACGTAGGTTGCTTCTGGAATTATAAACAGTAAAATGGCTACAGAAAGTTTGGTTGACGGATCAACATTTTGTTTATCTACAGGAGGAAATCCGCTAAAAGTCACAGTTGGTACACCAGAAAACAAATCAAAAAGAACTTCTATTAAGCAGCTTTCCATCGAAATAATAAAGCAATTACAAATTGTGTTAGAACTTTCAAATAGAAAAACAAAAGAGATGCTTTCTACTTTACGCAAAGGTTTAGGAAATAAGCTTTCCATTGAGCCTAATATTTTTGGTCGTCTTTCTGAATTAGAAGAATATATTTCTAATTACTACAGTGTGCAGAAGTGCGAGTTTATTGATAGTAAAGGCCATTTAATTTTACGAGATCTTGTATATGTTCAAAATACATCAAATTTTGTACTTGACTTATTAAAATTGCGTGGTTTAGACCCTACTTCAGCCTTTATAAGAATTTCATCGGATGGTGGAGGTTCATTTTTTAAAGTAATCATCAATGTCTTTGATTGTCAAAAAGATAATGAGTCAGACGAGTACTTAAATAGTGACGTTCAACGGTCTCAATTTTTAGCTATTGTTGAAGATATTCCTGAATCTAACTATAATTTGAGACTTGTTATAGAAAAATTAAATTTGCAAGATGTCAGTTTTTATGTTGCTTTTGACTTGAAATGTGGAAACGCACTGTTTGTTTTATCAGGACATTCTGGAATAAAAGCTTGTTTATGGTGTGAAGGAATATCTACATTAAATTTAGGGACAAAACGAACTCTTGGCAGTATTGATTATTGGTACAATAAATATTTAGAAAATAACTCAGTAAAATCATCCATGCAAGAGTTTATGAACTGCATCAATCCTCGAATTTTATATATTAATTTAGATCCAAATACTTTAATTGAGCAACTCATTCCTCCACCTGAACTTCATTTTTTAATTGGTTTTGTTTCACTGCTTGGAAATTTTTTGTTAGATGTCTGGTCAGAATTTGATGATTGGCTAAAGTCAAAAAATGTTATTCAGCGAGGGTACCAAGGCAGAGGCTGGGACGGAAACAATTCGAATAAAATATTAGAAAATCTTGATTCTCTTGAAACACAAATTTTAGAAACATTTACTTGTTTGATTCCAATTGTACAGTGTTTGAGAGATTTTAGAAATGTAAAAAATTGTTGCTTTTCCAGCAATTTACAAACTGGCTTCAAAGAAGCAATAACAAATTTAAAGAATTCATTTCTTTCCGCACAAGAAGTTGCAGTAAATTTAAATAAACAAATAAATACAACATGGAAAGTTCACATTCTACTGTGTCATGTACAGCCATATGTGGAACACCATAACAAAGGATTGGGTAACTTTGCTGAACAATGTGGAGAAAGTATTCATGCAAAGTTTAAGCCAACATGGACAAGGTTTAAGAGACAAATAGAGCATTCCGAACATGGTGACAGGCTATTATCAGCAGTAGTTGGTTTTGGAGCAAAAAGAATTTGATTTTGTTTATAAATTTATTTATATAGTTATATGTATATATGTATATTTATATTGTGTGTGTGTGTATATATATATATATATATATATATATATATATATATATATATATATATATATATATATATGTTTGTATGTATGTACGATATGTATATATATATATATATATATATATATATATATATATATATATATATATATATATATATATATGTACATGTATGATTATGTTATAAATGTACAGTTTTCTGAGCAATGCAGATAGTTTGTTTCAAATTTGAGTATACAAGAAATAGTTTTGAATGTGTAGACAAAAACACTTAATACGTAGATCGACTCAATAGTTATTTTTAATCAAAGAAGAGTTAAATTTATCTGTATCTTTGACATATTGCTCTGGAGCAGAAAGAAGAATTGTTCGTATTTTGTTGAATTATATACAATATTTTGATAAATATTATAAATATTTTGATTTTTTTTTGTTTGTTTATACTTTGTTAAAAATATTTGACATTTATTTTTGAAAATTACTGCAACGGGCATCTCAAATGTTTAAATGGGCATAGGGCCCCTCCATTTTACCTTTTGCCTCATTTACGACCCTTGACTTTTTTTTTGTTTTTAAAAAAAAGGTTTTTTCTATTTTTATTAAACAAATACTTTTGAATTAAAAACTTTTTTTTTGTAACTTGCAACTAGCATACCTAAATGGGCTTGTGCCCCCCTTGTATTTACCCTTTTGCCCCATTTATGACCCTTAGCAATTTGTTTGGATTTTAATAATCATTTTTTTTATTGTTATAATACAAATACTCTTGAATAAAAAAGGTTTCATTTGAGTGCCACGACATAAAACCTGGCGGTCTCTCTGGTGCACAGTGGGATTTCTTCCAGTCGAGCGAAAACAAACCAGTCTTTTGAAACCCAGAGTGACTATTCGCGTTTAAAAACTTCAACAGAGGTTAAAAATGCTGAACCTTGAACATAATATTTTGCTTGCAATTTATTAAAACATTCTTTTGACAAACTGCTGAAGTTTGTCTTTGCACAAAACTCTTGAAGTAATATGCGTCAAAGTTTGACTGTGTTTTATAACTTGCTTTGACTGTAATTAAACAAAGACTTTCTATCAATACATTCAAAATAAGGCTTTAGAAAAAAGCCAAATGTGAAGTACACCAAGGTTTTGCTCTTGATCTCTATTTGTTTGAAATTTGAAAAAACAAACATCCAAATATTTTTAAACACTATTAAATTAATAATACTTGCAAATGATACAAACTTATTTAAATTTTTCAAAACAATCAAAATTCTCTACAAAATAAAAAAAAATTAACTAAACAAATTATTCTTTTTAGCTTAAAAAACAATAAAAACAAACTATTTCACTCTAATCAGCAACAGTAATAAATTACCCATAATTCTACCAACAGTTAACATAGAAAACAAAACTATTAAAAGAGCACAGATTACCATATTTTTATGGGTTTATACAGATAAAAATATCTCTTATAAAACTCACAATGTATAAACATACAAATATTAAAGAATAAACTCTACAAGGCTAGACCATTGTTGTTACAAAATATTATAATACCACTTTTTCTTTAAATTAAACTTCTATAAGCACATATGTACGCTTTTAGAGTATAAGGCAGTCTCGCAAATCAAAGTTAGTATATATATATATATATATATATATATATATATATATATATATATATATATATATATATATATATATATATAAATATATATATATATATATATATATATATATATATATATATATACACGGTTGATTCAGAGGCCTTTAGAGCATAATGCAGTCTCGCAAATCAAAGTTAGTGTATATGTATGTACTGAAGCCCCCGGCAGCAGGCTATTTGACGTTAGGTGACTATGACATCATCATGCTTACCTAACTCAGCAGTATAAGATATATATATATATATACATATATATATATATATACATATATATATATATATACATATATATATATATATATATACATATATATATATATATATATATATATATATATATATATACGGTTGATTCAGAGGCCTTTAGAGCATATATATATATATATATATATATATATATATATATATATATATATATATATATATATATATATATATATTTATATATATATATATATATATATATATATATATATATATATATATATATATATATATATATATATATATAAAATTAGTTATAACGAAGACAACTTACACATACTAATGTCTTATTGGAAAATGTCGAAGAAATAAATATATTTTGAATAAATATTCTTTTAAAAAAATATATACTTTTCACGACTAAGTACAAATAAAAGCTGGTGCCACATCATTTTATAACTCTGTGTTGTGATATTATAAGGCGTTTATTTGTTTTTTTATAGCATTATTTGTTTATTTTGCATGTAACAAAAATATAAATGTCTCTCAGAGTTTAAGATCATTTAAATTTAATAGTAACCCATTTTTGGACCATAATTTTTTGTATAAATATTTGTTTATAAAATTTGTAATTATTTTGTGACTATTCTTATACGACATAAAATTGTCTAAAAAGATCGCTACTAAATTTAAATAATGAGAACTCTCTGTAAAGAAGTTTAAAAAATTTAATTATTAAAGTAAAGACTCAGATTTTTTTTAAACTACTTTTATTTAATACAAAAATTTGCTGCAAAAGCGGGTCCGACTATAAAAAAATAAATGAAAAATAAAAGGTTTATTACCGTAAAAATATATTTAATCTAATTTTAGTATTTTTATATAATTAATACTTTTAGAGATTAATTTAAGATAATATTTCAATATTTATAGTTACAAAAGAATAAATATATTAATATTATAACCAAAATGATCAAAATTCATAATATAATTATGAAAATATATAAAAAGTATATAAAAAAAAAAAACTATATATTTAAACAGAGATTACAATTGATTTTATTTCATCAATGAATGACGATTGACTTTCATAAAAACATTCGTAGAAAAAATAAAAATCATCAGAATAACCTTTAGATAGACGATCTAAAGAAAAATTAAATTTGAAATATAATAAACAAATAAATAATAAACAATAAGTAAAATAATAATCAAAATTGTGATATTATACATATAATGTTATTCTTTTTCTATATACATATATAAATATTAAACTATAATTAAATAAAAAATTTAATACATTTTCTTACTTTGTTAAAAATATTTTTTACTTAAAATGACATGAAACAGATTAAAAAAATGTTTAAGTTAGAATAAATACTTTATTTATTCATATTGTCATTGGAAATAAATATCATCATTTTTTTTTATAGAAGATGATAAAAAGGAAAACCTGTTTTATTTATATGCAAATTTGTAAAGAACTCAGTTTATTTATAAACCGAATTTCTACAGAACTTGTTCAAATTTAGGATTTACATCGAAAATCTCCTTCGACAATCTTTTTTGAAATAAATTATTTAAATGAATATGAAAAAAACGTCAAAGAGTGAGGGTTCAAATATTTGGTGATTCGATTTCGACGTCGATTTGAAACACTGAAGAATATCAATAAAAAATACAACTTTTACTAGGGTTGTTAACCGGAGGATTTCGTGCAATTCCGGAAAAACAACATTCTTTCGTAAGGAGATTGAGAACACGGAATTACATTTTTTCGTACCGAATGTTACAAAACATTTAAAATCGCCGATGTTCATTTCGCAAAAGCCACTTCCGAAATTTAGCATTTCGCAAGTTGACATACGAAACAAAACTATTTTGCAACATACGAAAGTAGCGGTTTCGGAAGTCGCACTTGCGAAACAAACATTTTTGCCAAACGACGTTTTGAAGTCTATAAAGAAAATTTGTTTGCCAGACTGATTTTAATTGTAAAAATTAACATCTTTAAATCCCAAAATGTTTTAAATGTTTAGAATTTTTATTTTCAGTAAAATAACTTATTAGATTTTTACGGTTTTACTTTTAGAAATATTGATAAAAAATAAAATTTCTTTCGAAACGAAAGTATTTCGGATCACAACATACGAAAGAATTCTTAACGGAAATAAACTTACGAAACGTGCCATAATAAATATATACAACGATGTTTTTTGAACTCATTACGTATATTAAAAATAAGAATGATGGGTAGGAATATACATGTTTTTAGGAATATACATGTTTAGGTAGGAATATACATGTTTTTTTTTAAAGCATATGAAATTTTTGAAACAGGTTCGAATATGCTTAAGCAAATAGTAAAAAGAGGCTCAAAAATATGCTTTAGCTTAAGCATATTTCTGATAAAATATACCTATTTCAATAATTTCTAAAAGTGTGCACGTTACTAAAATTCTAGCAGATTTTAAAGGTATGTAGAGTCCTGTTTGAATACGCTTTTCAAAGTATAGATCATAGAAAATTTTGTTTTTTAATTTTAATAAGATATAAATTTGAGTATAAGATTGTATAGTTCAATCAGTTAGATACGTGATAATTCGCCGCAGAGATCCGGGTTCGCATCCCGCAGCCATTGTAACTTTTGTTCATCAAACTCTTTTTACTTAAGATAGCATTTTTTGACCTCCATGTTCTATATTACAGATCTTTCGTCGCCTTCACAATAGTGACAACCTCTCTTCTGTTAGTTATTCTTTTAAGATTGAGTTCATTGTGATTAATTCAACACGTTTCCCTTGCTTTACTAAGTTCTACTTAAATTATGATGAAATGTACGTAAAACAATTTTTTCAAATAATATAATTCATTTTGCTTTAAATCTTTTGCTTTTTGTACTAGACATCTGTCCTAAATACTTTGTAATAATTTCTAGCTAACTCTGAGTCTAATATAACCATTTCTGAATATAATTTCCCTGAGGCTCCTACAGCTTATTGTGTTCCATTAAAAGTAACTAGTTTTTGAGTCCAGATATTAATTATAAGCATCTAAAAGTTCACATTACTATTCATTTTCCTGATATATAGAATCCTATTTGCATACGTATATCTTTCTGTAAATTCTGTTTTATATAGTTTCAAATTATATATTAAATAAATATTACTATTCTCTTAGTTGAATGAACGTATAGCTCATTCAGTTAAGACATTTGGCCGCGTAGACCCAGGTTCACATCCCGCTGTTTCACATATATTTCTTCTCTTTTTACTCTTTCTGATATCATTTACTTTTAGAGAGATCTCTCGTTCTTTATAATAAAGTATTTAATTGTTTATCACACATCCTCTTTATACTTTTTAAAAAGAAAGGCATACTGTTTATCTATTCATTGAGTGTCCAACTTAACGGGATTTTACTGTATATATAAATATATATATATATATATATATATATATATACATATATATACAGTAAAATCCCGTTAATGTATATGTATATATATATATATATATATATATATATATATATATATATATATATATATATATATGAATATATATATATATATATATATATATATATATATATATATATATATATATATATATATATACATATATATACAGTAAAATTCCGTTAATGTATATATATATATATATATATATATATATATATATATATATATATATATATATATATATATTAGGTATATTTGTATAAACATTTGAAGAATCATTTGACAACATTTTTTTATAATTTTGTTATTTATTATTTAAACTGTTAACAGTTAATATCTTAAATATATCGTAACATAAAATCTTTTGCGTCTTTTTCGTAACTACACATTCCGGAATGCTTTTTCCGTAAGGAACTATTTCGTAAGTATTCTTACGAAATGATTTGTTTCGCAAGTTTTCTTTCGCAATGCTTTATTACGGAATTTTATTTATATTTTCGTATAGCGCGTTACGGAATGTGCATTTTCGCATGTGCAACTTCCGTAATAACAATTCTATTACGGTAGATAGAGATGCGAAATTTTCGCAAGTTTTGTTTTTCGGCGAACAACCCTAACTTTTACACAACTTATAAATTAATTTTTGATGCAATTAACGTAGCTAAAAAGAATTAATAATCTATTCAATCAAATTTAAATTTTTTCATAAATTACATCGAATGCATGTTTTTTGGATAGACAAATAAAATTTTGTTTTAAAATTTTGTTTTAAAATTCATGTAAGAGTCATTTTAAAGAAAAGTTTTACTTTCACTATCACTTTATAAAATTAATATTTCTCTTTAGGAGTGACACAAGTTCTAATGAGCAAATTTAACTTACTTAAAAAAGCTATTAACAATAGAACATAAAAAACACTATTAACAATAGTGTGACAGTTGTTATTAAAACATGGACGAACTGCCGATTTACATTCGGCAGTTCGTCCATGGTTCGGTTGAAATTACAGTCTTAGAACAGAATCAGCTTATATCTTGAAATCAAATTATTATCAACATTATTAAATTTAAATATTTTTAGCATCTTTTCTTGCATTTTTTTGTTTAAAAAAAATCGCTTAATAAATCAACAAAATAAACAAAAAAGAAAAAAAAACTGTTATCATATTTATATACAAGAGGTCGTCGTCGTCGTATCGCTTTAAGGCGGACATGTAAATGGCGCACTCCAAACTCGGTGAAGTTCGTTAATTCTCGGAACGATAGTTCATTTTGGTATTTTACAGAATGGACGCTAAATTATTACGTTATTGTAATGGTAACGCCGAAAATAATAAAATAAAAACTTTGCGTAAACGCATTTTAATAAAAATTTAACATTTTATAAAAAAATTTAAAATTTTACAAATTATCAACATATCTACATTAAATATTTGATTAAATAGATCTTCTAAAGGTATCTTCTCTTTTTAACATATCTTTTGTGGCTTATCTTCTTTTATTCGATCTTCTTAAAGGTATCTTCTGGTAGTTTCTCTTCTTTACGTATCTTTTTGTGGCTTATCTTCTTTTAATAGATTTTCTAAAGGTATCTTTTGGTAGCTTATCTTTTTTACATATCTTTTTGTGGCTTATCTTCTTTTTATCCTTCTTAAGTATCCTTTCTTACTAGTTACACCAATTGCCCCCAAAATCCAACGTTATGCCCAACATTATATTTTCGTTTAAAAAATAAAGATTCATCGATCTCTACAATGAGCTCTGGACCACCTAATTGATTTACAGCAGCAACATCCATAGTTTTAAATGAAGAATCATCCCGGAAGTATTGATACCACTGAATTGAGGTTTTTTTGTTTACACCTACTACCTCAGATGCAGTGGTTGCAGGAACCTCCAGAACCCAAAAAAACATTAATTGAAGTATCAGACTTACACTTAAAGATGTAGAGCTTTCAAAAAGTCCTTCTCGAATTGAATTTGTCTTTTTGCAAGTGTTGCATCGCCAAATATGTTTTTCCTTAATTAAAGTATTTTAAAGATACAAGGGATAATCTGTTCTGTGTAAATAATAATAAAAATGTTAAGTATTCATACTTGACAACGTTCATAATATTGCACAACCATTCTTTGACCAAATAGACAAAGTTTTTGAAGTGGCATTAGCTTTTTTTGTTGCAAAAAATCAACCAATTTTTCTTCTTTGGTACTTTCAATGAACTCAGCTAAAGGTGTCATCTTACTTATTTTGTATTAAGTATTCATACTTGACAACGTTCATAATATTGCACAACCATTCTTTGACCAAATAGACAAAGTTTTTGAAGTGGCATTAGCTTTTTTTGTTGCAAAAAATCAACCAATTTTTCTTCTTTGGTACTTTCAATGAACTCAGCTAAAGGTGTCATCTTACTTATTTTGAAGGCGGTAAAATATGTGAATTAAAAACTTTTATGCTAAATTTTCATTCGTTATTATTAGCCAATCATTAAACGGCAAAGTTATCGTTTCGAACTTTACCGAATTCGTTTACGAATTTCACCGAGTTTAGGGTGCGCCGTGTACAGGTCCGCCCGCTTTAAAACAATTCAACTTTAGTTCCAAAACATGAACTTTTTAAATGAAAACAAATAATTGAGTATAAAACTTACAAAATTTAAAAAGTTTTGTTACCAGTGTGAATT